AAAAAAGAGAGAATTATTCTCTACTTTCTGTTTCCCTAGAGTTTATACCTTGATTGGTACAGATGGCACATCAAAAACATAAACTTGCCTTGCACACTTGATAGATGATTGTGTGGCTTCCAAAAAATGGTGATTAGTGAAGCTTCAGCACATCAGTTTTCCTATCTACATTGTCATCCTCTTTGTGGATATAAAATAATCACTACAAAAACAGTAATAGCTCTTTTTTGTATCATATCATGAAATAATAAGCTCTAAAATTTTATTTAATAATGTCTACACTGTTTAGCTATTCAAAGATATGACAAAAATTCATGGGTATTAGAAAAAAAAGGAAATGAGGCGCAGAGAAGTGGTAAGTTTTATTCTTGAGTTGATGCATATCTTGGAATCATATTCCAGGTTTCACTGGCTTTTGACTTTTATTTTTATCAATACACTCACCATTTCCATGAAAGTCTTTATTTAAATCAAACAAAGGGAAAGAAAAGTTTTCTCAAGTTTCAGACATCCCATGGATGGCACACCAATTGGGAAAATGATTGATATTCTCCCTTTTTCTCATAACCAGTGTGAGCATAAGACTTGGAAAGAATCACACTCACATATGCAAATGGTATGAGATTAATCGTATGGAACTGAAATATTGATTCCCTAACAAACATCCCAGTGCATTATATCCACCTCTGAAGCCTAATGGAATTATTATTCTCTACAAAAGATGATATTTTATGGTCAATAAAGATACAAGTATTGCCATCATATATGTTTCAGAAATACTTTATCAGTATATATGAACGGTAATAGGTAAGAGGTTATATTTGATTGGGATGGATGTTTATTGAGCAAAAAATGTAGATGATTCTTCTAGTACTTTTCAGGGGAGCTAGACATTGTTACAGTTTAGATTATATAGAAGAGTACTGATATGCATATAATATTAATTAAGTATTAAGATATTCTCACTGAGATTAGGGCAGCAGATCTTTTGGGGAATAAAGACTATGATCAAGTGTAAAGGAGAATGGGATCATGTGGAGATATTAATCTCAAATTTCACAGGGGGCAAATTGTACCCCTCTAAAATATCAGTTATAAAGAATATATTACTATTTATTTAACTGTATTATTAACTGCATTTAAATATAATGCTCATGGCTCATTTTCTAAATGCTGGGAAAACATCAAAATATTCTCAACCTTAGTACAGAAAAAGACCACCAAGAACTTCATGTGTAGATAATATGAAAAAATTATACTGGCTAATATTCCAGAGTTTTCAGATATTAAAATAGTTATGAGGATACATATTCATAAATGGGACTGAATACTGGCACTGTATGCAATTTAAAAATTTTAAAAAGTTGCTAATGCTACAGTTAGAAAATTACTGTCTCCATTTCACAGATGACTATACTGTGGTCATGTATTTTCATTATGTTTATATGTTTCTTTCTTTGTATTTTCCCCAATGAAACTGTACTGGGAGTTGTCCAGATAATAAACAAAAGTTATCTTCACAAATCTTAGGCAAGAAATTACAACCTATGTATGAGGAAATATTGCTGTGAATATTTATTAAATTGTATTAGTCTCAGGCTCACACTTAAGCAAAGAGTTTTTCCCTGGTACTAAGGTGTTTAACCATATGTAAAAGACTTTAAAATTAGCAAAACAGAATAAGCAATCTTAGTTCCCTCACTGTAGAATACAGAAATGCCTTCCTGCATATTGCCTAATTATTAATGTGAAGTGTACACCAACACCACATCTGTGGCCAGTGATGGTATTGGTTATGTGCATCTAACTAAAATGTGCTTATTGAAAGGTGAAGTCCACCAAAGGTAAGAATAGAAGTTAAATATTAAACAACTTTAAAAACACAAAAAAATACATATTTGGTTGAACACTTTCTCTACATAGAAGAGTCATCAGAAAAGATAGGAAAATACAAAAAGCCCTGGAAGACAAGTGACACATAAAAATGTTTTCCAAACATAAGTTGTCAACTTTAGAGTTCAGATAAGGCATTCCTACCTCTCCTAATCATCATACAGTGTATAATATATCCACTTCCAAGCAATTTGGATAACTGACTACCTGGTGTTTGTTTCTTTTCTCCAACACTCCTTTCTTTTGCAAAAGGTGCCCAAGAAGTCTAGAGGAACAAAATCTAACACACATCTCACAATTTCATCTCTTGGGGCTCTCAGAGAATCCAGAACTGCAGAACATCCTCTTTGGACTCTTCCTGTCCATGTACCTAGTGGCTGTGCTTGGGAACCTGCTCATCATCCTGGCTGTGATCTCTGACTCCCACCTCCACACCCCCATGTACTTCTTCCTCTCCAACCTGTCTTTGGCTGACATTGGTTTCATCTCCACAACAGTCCCAAAAATGATTGTGGACATCTCATTACAGAGTAAGGTAATCTCCTATAAAGGTTGCTTAATACAGATGTCTCTTTTTCTAATTTTTGGGTGTATGGACGACATGCTTTTGACTGTGATGGCTTATGACCGGTTTGTGGCCATCTGTCACCCCCTGCAATACCATGTCATCATGAACCCTCGCCTCTGTGTCTTCTTAGTCATGGTGTCTCTTTGCTTTAGTCTTTTAGAATCCCTACTGCACAATTTGATTGCCTTACATTTTACCTTTTTTGAGGATGTGAACATTTCTAATTTCTTCTGTGAACCTTCTCAACTTTTGCATCTCATCTGTTTTGATAACTTTACCAAAAATATAGTCACATATTTAGTAGGTGTTATTTATGGGTTTCTTCCCCTTTTAGGGATCTTTTTCTCCTACTATAAAATAGTTTCCTCCATTCTGAGAATCCCATCCTCAAGTGGGAAGCATAAAGCCTTCTCCACCTGTGGGTCTCACCTCTCAGTGGTCTGCTTATTTTATGGAACAGCCATTGGCATTTACCTGACATATTCTATGTCACATTCTCCTAAAAAGATGTCAGCAGCCCAAGTGATGTACACCGTGGTGATCCCAATGCTCAATCCCTTCATCTACAGCCTGAGGAACAAGGACATGAAACATGCCCTGCGAAGGCTGCAGAGCAGAGCAATGTAGTCTTAATGTCTCTTCCCTCCAATTTATATCTTGGGTTGGAAAACCCAATCATCTAGACATGCAAATAATCAGACCATCTAGACCAGCAAATTATGCTTCTTTGCTATATTGTAGCTTTATGACTTTTTATTCAATGTTTTATAGTTAAATATTGATTCCTTTGGTCCATTTTTAAATTGCACAAATATTCTTGAATCTGTTTTTGTTGTTGTTTTGTTTTGTTTTGTTTTTTGAGACAGGGTCTTGCTATGTAGTTGAGACTGACCTGGAACTCACTGTGTAGCCCAGGCTGGTCTTGAACTTGTAGCGATCTTCCTGCCTCAGCTTCCCGAGTGCTGGGATTGCAGGTGTGCACCACCATGCCCGGCTTGAATTTGTTTTTAATCATAAATATCATGACTAAAATATTATAAACAGGAAACTTCTATAGTTTCGGAGAAATGACTTTGGCCTCCCGGTGAAATTTTCATAGCTCTTTATAATTAAAATTTGCATCTGTTTTCAAAGTTCAAGCTTATTTTATTTAAAAATTGCACTAGTGATATCTATTTAGGTTGGTTATATCCATAAACCATATCACTGATGCCTAAGTTTGGCTTTTATTGGAATCACCCAGGAAGGATAAAAATATGGACAGCTTGGTATGCTCAGGAGAGATTCTGCTTTCTATGCATCAAACTATGAGAGATTTAAAAACTTTAGAGTGGGTTCAGATTCTGGCCCTTAAAGGGATCAAATTCAAAAGAGCAAGTCAAAAATGAATTTATTGTAGTGGATGAGTTGGTTTGATTCAAATGTCATGTCCAAGTGCATTGTTCCTCAACATCGTGTCCCTTGTTCTTATTATATATGTTTTTTTATGTTATTATTTTCCTGTTCCATAGATTACTTATATATTGCAAATATTTATGTGAAATCTTTCCATAGATACATTTTAAAGTTGTGTGGGGTCTCTGTATAACACTGCTCTGTGTTCTTCCTGGTTCTGTTGTTGAACACTTTCACTCATGGTCACTAAATTTTACCACATTGAAAATTCTCTACATTTTATTAATTTCATACCCATGAGTGCTCTGTGTTTTAGAAGATCCCTTCCCATTAATATCTCCGTGATCCTACAATACCCTCTCTGTATTTCTCCAGAGGTTAAACAGTTGGGCACATTCAAATTTCTCCATTACATTAACCAGACTTGTTTGCATTTCTGGAACATTAAGTAATGAACCATACCATGGTGACAAAAAGGAATATTGTCAACTGTCTGTAACTGAAATATTTAAAAATATGCTTAAGAAATAAAATTACTTTTCAATGTATATGTGTGTTTAGATGTCTAACTGAGGAGTCAGTGTTGTTCTTGTTTCCAGTTAATGTATGGCTCTACTATTGTGTGAGGATTACTGTCAACATTTGATAGTACATTAGATGAACTTTAGTTTCTTTAAAATTATTTTCAGGTTTCAATTGTCTCTGTGACCAGCCACAATGAGCTATGTTTTTATATTTAATTGATAGCCAATGACTTTATAAGTAGAAAATTATGTTTCATGTCAGACTCTATTCAATGGTAATATTTTTTCTTTTATTCATTTATTTAAATTTTTATTATTGTATGTTTATAACACCAATAGTTACATCTGTATTGGATAATTGGTAAAAGTATATAACATATTTTGATTATTTTCAATTTTTTTACAGACCTCTCCATTCTTCTGCCTCTTCTGTCTTCTAGTCACTCTTCCCCATCTCCAAAAATCCTGCCTTCCAATTTTCTATCATTTCCCCTTCATTCTGCTATTGATATTTCTATTTTAACTTTCTTATATAGGGGGCACTATATGATATTTGATTTTCTGTAGGACACATTTTCTACTTGATTAATCACTTTACATATTAATTTATATGGCCTTTCTTTTCCTTTTAATTCATTAAATTTATTGGTACATTCTATGTATACAATATGATGACATTCATCATTGGGAATTTGTACCTTTACATGACATATCTTAATTCATATTTTCCTATTCCCCTGCCTGCTCTTTAATTCCTCTATTATCTCAAGTTTCTTATGCATTTTCCATCAAATGATGTGATTTCATCTTTTTATGGTTGAATATCTGCTTCTTTATGTATTTATATGTGGTTGGGCATCTAAACTGTTTCCAGAACAAAACACAGAAAAAACAAAAAACCAGACATGGCCGGGGATTTAGCTCAGTGGTTCTACTGCCTGCCTCACTAGCAGAAGGTTCAGAGTTTGATCCCTGGTACAAAACAAAAACAAAAAAAAAAAACAAAAAACTAAAGTGTTTAGTGTTT